TCCTCCCTCCATCCCCTTCCCTTCTCCCTCCATCCCCTCCCCTCCTCTTCCTACCGCCCCCCTTCCCTTCCTCCCCCTCCTCCCGTCTTGTGTCTCTCGGTGCCGGGTGAGGAGCGCAAGATAAAAGGGTCCTCAGTGGTTATTTGTTTTATAGATTGTCTCTGTAATATCTCGAGGCATTTTTTTTTTTTGAGCTGTGAAGGTGAACTATGGACACAGTATTGACCATAAGAAGTGGTACATCATCCCTCCCCTATACCGTCTCCAGGCGTCGCAGGAAGTGACCAGCGGTGTATATTGAAGGTATCAGTACTTGTGTTTATACCTTTTATGTACTGATTAAATAGGTTTTAGAAAAATTTGTATTATATGTAAGAAAACCACATCCTTATTATGTCTAATGTCACTACTGTAAGCGCAATTTATAGTATACCTAAGTCTATAAATGTTGTGGTATTCTTTTTTTAATAAACTCTTTGAGGTTGTAAGTGGTGGGATATCAGATCCTCCTACTGGCGACTGCTGTAATGCAGGTTGATATTACACACTGTACACAGGAACGGCGGCCTCTGGAAATCCCGCACTCCTACACAAACATATGAGCATCAGCTGCCCACATCATGTATCATATTCCATTGTTTGTTTATATATTATTCAGATGTTTATTTTACAATGACAAAACTCTTTTCCTGCGTAACTCTAGGTGTTTATCAGATGACAAAAGGCTTACTATTATGTATTTATGTTAATTTATGCAGCAGGAGAGGGGAAGGACGACGGGGTAACCTCACACGACTACCAGCTGGACAAATTCTTGGCTCTTACGATAACCATCCTTCCATAAGAGATCGTTTTATCTCCTTAAATAGCGTTCTTAGTATTGAATTCCATTTTTTCTCGTATAATTCTTTGTAAAATATAAAGATGTATTCAAGTTTAAGTTACTAATATGACGGAAAAGCCACAGATCGTCTCCATTTTCAAGAAACAAAAGAGCATCATTAATCAGCTGTCTGGCTGGTGGTACGACGCGTCCAATGCCACTTATTGTTTATTTAATTAGCAGAGACTACAAGATACCTTAATTTATAGTCAAGTTCCTTATACTTTTGCATGGTGGATACGTGTGTTGTGAAGCTTCTAACAAGTGAAGACTACTACAGCGCCGAGTCTATCTGCCTGGGTGGATGCTGATGCTATGTTGTAATACTGAACATCAACAACTGAAGTCTTTAAGCGCGTGACTAGTTTAGTAATTACTCTATGGTCGTCAACAACTAAAGAATCAAGAGAGTTTGTTTGAGTTTACAACGAGTAGATTATTATAGTACAGTAATATTAATAATTATAATACCTGGAATAATAATGAAGAGTATCAACAACAACAATAATATTTAACACTTCTTTCCCTCTATTTCCCCCTTCTACTTCCTTCTTTTCTCCCCCTCTTCTTTCTTACCCTCTCCGGTTCCCCTTTCCTTCCTACCCCGTTCCAGCCCCCCCTCCTCCCTCCTTCTAGCTCCCCTCTCCTTTCCCCTTCCAGCGCCCCCTCCTTCCCCCATCCAGCTCCCATCCTCCTTCCCCCTTCCAGCGCCCCCTTCTCCTTCCGGCTCCCCCACCTCCTTTCTTCCCCCTTCCACCTTTCCTCCTCCTTCCTCTCCTCCCTTCCAGCGATCCTCCTACTTCCTCCCCCCTTCCAGTTCCCCTCTCCTTCCTTTCCCCTTTCAGCTTTCTCCTCTTTCTTCCCATGCTGGCGAATCATCAATTAGCCAAGCAGAGATGAACGAGGTCATTACACAGGGCGCTAACACAGCCATTACTGCTACAGGCTGAACCAGCGAGATTCCTTAACCAGCAGGAGTCGACCTCACACCCCTGGAGGTCACACATAAGAGGTCACGACCATTAGAGGCATCCCAGCTGGTGGTTGATAATACCCGTCCTCTTGAGAAATTCCATGGTGGTATTTAACCATCATTAAGGCAGGTAGATAGTTAAGTATAGTCATGGTAATCCCAGCGTCCCCTTAACCCAATATAGAGCAAATTAGTGAGGCTAATTACCCCAGGTTGGTGGTCTTTGTTGTCGTAAAGTATGGAAAATATTGGAACATAAAGTCATACACCTACGGGGGGTAGATTGAAAGTCTCCTAAAGAATTTTTCCCTACAAAAATAAGGCAATTCCTATATGATTTAGAAGCAACTCTGTATTCATGAATTGCAAAATGGGCTTTTTGTTTTCTCGTTGTAAATTGTTATCTAAAAATCAACAAATCTGGGGGTTTGGTGAGATTTGGTCGGGGGGGGAGGCGGGGGACATGTTTTAAAGTACTGGATGATGCGAACGTTCGGTCAAGAGACAAGTACGTTAACCACTCGGTCGAAGATTACCCGTATACAGTATACAGCAGTACTACAATATCTGATGTGCCATAATATTGAACTACATATCCTACAGTAACTACGTATTCATACAAAAGCTGTATTTTGTCATAGGTATTGTATTATTCTTATACTGAGATAATAAATGACGACGATACTTTAATACAGAAATTATTTAAGGTTTACAATATCTACTATAAGTAAATACCGTTTTATATTTACGTTCACTGTATGCTTGTCTATATACTTATTTGCCAAGACACTTACATACTGTTATCAATCTATATTTTCAATTTTTTTACTTTGCAGACATTTATATACAATTCTGAATCTGTATACTCCATTTACCTTTAAATTTATAGTCACTCTCTCCTAATATATCGCATACCACAAAGAAACATCACATACAGAATATTTTTGTACATTAAGATACCAGCTGGAAAACTAAACATATCACTTTATGTCAGTTTATCTGAATAAATTTCGTTAATAATAATTCACAGTTATACGGACCCACTAAGGGAGGATCTGGATCGGTGTGAATTATTATCTCGGGATATAAGAAGAGAGATACGTGGGGGAATGTTTAGTGCGTCGGCTCTTGTGTGTGTGTGTCAGCTGCCGTAGCTAAGATGTTTTGATGTCAAGAAGTGAGGGATATTCTACGTCTGAGATCTTAACAAACTCCAAGAAATTCTTATGTTTCGTGCTTAACACACCTTTGAAACGCAGAGAAAAATACCCTGTTATAAAGGTATTCCCGCACAGAAAACGGCCCACGTAAAATCTGAATAGTTAAAACAAACAAAATAAACAAACCAAGAAACAAGAAAATGCACATAAAACAAATATGGAAACTACATTATGGAAAACCTCTCATATTTGTGAAGGCTATCTTACGTGGACGTCTCTTATCATACATCAGCATCCTGTTCGTTATGTAAACATTAGTCGTGCCGGAGGACCCACCACATTATCGTGCCATAAAGTACACGACACAATAAGATCTTGGTACTGATACTGATGAAGCCACCAGCTGGGTTGTGGGATTTACTCTACCACACATGACTAGAATGAGGCTTGGCTACGATGCCTCGACAATAATCATGGACTCAGAAGGTACTATATGGCGATGGTTAGGAAGATCTGGAATTAAGTCAGTTTCTTTTACTTCTAGGAACGGAGTCATTTTGTCCCACTACATCAAATTAAATCACCTTAATCTAGTACAGAAAATCAGACGGTTTTTATCATCTTTTGTCAAAAGTTTATGTCAGGTAACAAACTTGGAGTACTGTAATGTGAAAGTCTCTAGGATAACGATGCTGACTGATACAGGTAATTTGTGTTTTGATTCGATTGCAAATAATTATTCTTCCTGCTTACAACCTGGACAAAACTGACACTCACTCATCTCTGAAAAGCCAGATAATATTCCTTATTTTACCTATTTTCGGTGTTGTTTTAGTGGCGGTGTCAGTAGTGTAACCGACGTCAACAGACTTTTCCTATCAAGAACAATACTACTACTGCAAGTCATACCTTCCCGTGAAAACACTTCTGCTCGTAATGTAAATATACCCCAGTACAGGCAGAGGGTTGGCGAACGTTTGTCAGACGATTCTTCGGCCAACAATTCACCACCGGAGCCTAATTGGAACAAGAAAAATTCATATGTAAATAATAAAAAAATGTATGGAAACAATACATATTCATCTAACACAAATTATTTAAAAGTATATACAAAACAAAGTTAAAATAATGTAGCAAATCACAAACCAAAATATCTAAATAAAACTATAGGCGTAACCTTTTTTTTTTTTAATAGCCTCCAACCTCCTCCTAGAGCCGTACTTTCTCCACCACTTTATCACCTAAATATCCTAAGACAAAGGCATGTATCCTAGCTACTACTACTACTATCTCAATACACATAAAATACTACTTGATCTTCATAATCCTCACAAAAAAATCAGATACATTAAACTCAATTGGCCTTGGTAATTAGACAAGAGGTACAACAATTAGCGGGTTGTGTACGAGGACCTTAATGACCCTAACGAGGTTCACTTGATCTTGATACGGCATCAGCTGTTGCCAGAAAATCCTTATTTGTTTGTTAATGTTTTTGTTTACCTGTTTGTTTGTTTCGTCTAGAGGGTCGTATTTTGGGTGATAGGTTTATTTTATCAGTAATTGAGAGGTAAATTACGAGATGAGGGGTAAATGTTCTCTCTTTCTCTCCCTCCCTCTCTCTCCTTCCCTCCCCTCCCACTCTCTCCTTAGACGTATCAGTTAAGAATCTTTGCCTCAAAACTCTTAACCTCTGAACTTTGTGTATTAATAAGCTATGGTTTAGTTATCTCTGTAGTGTAGTGTATCAAACTAGACTTTCGGTTTTTCAGCATTATGTCAGTAAATATAAATTCATGATATAATAAAGAAAGAACTTCTCTCTCTCAGTTGCCTCGAGTGTCCTCAACTAAATTAAATGTATTTGGTAAGTTTTTCTCATATTTTAATATATTTATTCATTGTTTAATTTCATATTTTTTCTCAGATCAATCGTTTAGTTTTCTGATGGTCACAAATTGTCGAGGGTAAAGATACTTAATTCTTTATACTCATAACAAATGATTTATTTGTACAATATTTACAACAAATAACATTCAGTTGATCATCATGAAATAAAATACAAGACAATGAAACATGACATAAAGTAATGAGGCATAACAATAACAATATGGGTAATGTAGATGAGTGGACCCCAGTGTGTTGTCACTTGGTCGGCGGCTCCTTCAGCAGTGCTCCACCATCCCACTGCAGGCAGGCGATCCTGCGTCAAGGATTGCTTCTAAAAGCTTGTCGTTGCCGGATGGAGACCAATTTCAGGTGCTGTTGATCATTTATACTGGCGTTGTTTTTATGCCACGGACCAGCAATTATTTTCTCGGGGATGTGAAATAAAAATGATCTTCAGGATTCTGTTATAAAGAAACTCCCGATGGTGTAAATGTAACGCACGACGTTATCTTGTGACGGTACATCGTCTTCCAGAGTACAAGAGTTTTGGAGGAATTACAGGTAGTTGTTTCTGACGGTGGTAAGAACTTCACACACTGGTCTGGAGAGAGAAGAAACAGAGAACACGTTTCCTTCAAACTCATTTGAAGATTTCCCAAATCTGTCCTGGACTTACTAAGATGTTAAGATGCCATTGATCTTTATGACTCTTATTGTAGGCGCAGCACAGTAGACATTAAGCTCCAAGTCTTGAGGGTCTGTGTTGTTAGACAGTCGAGAGTTCTATTCACCCTCACATGTCTAAGTTGTTGGTGACACCTCTCGGGAGTGGCGACTGTCGGGGCTGGTGGCCGCTAAATATATGGTGATATGAATGATGATGGCTACAGTGAGCGATGAAGATGAAGACTGCAGATGGTAACAGGAATTGATGGTTTGGTTGTTGATGGTGCAGCAACCGTTAAAGGTGGTGCTGGAAAGCGTCCAGGCTGCTGCTGCACTTTTCACAGCCCACGTGTTGGTCTTGAAAGTTGCTCAAGTTAGAGACAACTGTTTTTTGTAGCCTCATGATCGTGGAGAATTATGTTTACACTTGATACTTCAGAAGTGTCACTGACCACGACTCTCAGTGAGCTGTTCCGTGTCGCTGCATTCACGATGTGGCAAAGATGTCGACATCGATCAAGCAGCACACCACTGATGTTGTTGACTAGATACACACAGATATATATTTATATATATATAAATACTATTTACATTTCTATATACACTGGCAGACTTGCCACTTAAATATCAATAAAGCATTAACGTCTAAAAAGCCTCTTATAATTGGAACACAGGTATTCTCTCTTCAGGAACCTTCCTCGACTGCCAGTCTTAAAGCAGTAGTGGCGAGACGTGGGACTCCACCTGGCCTCACCTCACGTACTTTTGACGACCTCTAATTGTACAACAGCTGAGGAGGAAGAGGAGGAGGAAGAGGTACTGGGTAGAAAAAGCTCAGGGTCTTCACTTCCTGAGAACATGTGAGAGCAATTCCTTCATCTGGTGCTCGGGGAAGACCTCACGTCTGGCACGCACCAACCGCCGGGGGGAGGAGCTGGGCAAGAGGCGGTGCACAAGGGAAGTTGAGATGCGGCTTTCAGTCATCATGGGCTCGAAGTCAGCGCTGGCCTTGATGCCCATGGGTGACAGGGGCTCATTGTTGACTGCAGGAGGAGAAGTAGGAGGAGCCACACGGACAGCGTAGGGATGGCTGCTGTGGGCGGCATGGGTGGCGGTGATCTTGGCAGGGGCGGGTACGCGTACGGCATAGGGGTGAGGATCATTGACGGTCTTGTGGAAGTTGAGGGAGGGGGAAGGGTAGGAGGGGCCGTCCTGCACCTCGTTCACCAGGTCGTAGTCTGTAGAGCACAAAACAGTAACATTAGTGACCCTGCAGAAGTGTTGACAGCCACGGGGGCTTAATACACATTATGTCTTATCTAATGTAGAGGAAATATAGACAGTCCTTCCAACTAAGATACTATTAGTTTTGTACGTTTGGTGATATCAATGGTCCCTGTCACTTACACAATAACTTCTTACATACTCAAGAACAACACAAGAGTAAGCAATACACACCTTCAACAGGGGCAGCCACGTCGTTGGAGTACAAATTCTTGTATGAAGGAAGCTTAAAGTCGCCCTTCATGACCTTCGCCCAGATGATGCCACGTGAGTTCCTCTGATAAGGATCGAGGTAGTCAAGGGCGTCTTCTTCCTCGTTCACCAGGTTGGACATGCCATACAGCATCAGCACCTTACTACAGTCTGTAACACGAGGAGGAGGACGGGTTACTGATGGACGCCTTCACATTTAGGATGGCTGCATTTATCACACACTTCCACACCAAACCAAACCAACCTAACCAATCTAACCAAACCAACCAAACCTAACCCTATCTAACCCAGCCTAACTAAAATTAACATTAATCTAACCACGCTAGCTTAACTTAAGCAACCCTCACTTAACTAAACTAACAGCCCCCATTTAACCCATATTGCCTAACTTTATCCAAATGATTTATGGAGATAATTTATTTGACATGAATAGAAATATATGCAGTATATCTAAGAGAATATGCTAGAGACAAAATTTAAAATGGATAAAAAAAATATACTTGAGAAAGGAATAAATCTGGCACAATAAGTTACCCAAGAGCATAAACAGAAGAGAAAAGAACAAACTTAAGAAGAAATTATATAGATATGACCAGGGAGAAATAGCCTTTACGCACATTATCGTGATTGGAGACTTGAACGCATCATTATATACCAATCTCCTTACACAGTTTATTAAGTTTGGCCGATAAAGTGAAGTGTAGATTATATTTGTTCGTAATGCCACTTAGATGAAGTAACGAAAGTATTTTAGTGTTCAGAGAGAGTATAAGTACGTGACCCTGTAGTTCCCAAAGGATAATACAACAGGTGAGCATCGGCACATACAATCTAATACCTTTTCAAAGTGTCGGTTGCTCCTCAAAAGACTAGAGAAGGGAATTCAAACATACGACTTATGTAACCTATTCCTCATTTATCTCTCTCTCCCCTTTGTGAGCTAGCCATTAGAATCGTGCTTCCCGTCTAACTTTGAGCGATTAGAAACTGCTATCGAAGCGTCGCTCTTATGTACACTTAGCGTTAGGTCTGCCAGGTCAACCTCTACTACGGAACAATATGAAACTGTTTGAACGTCAATGGTGAACACGAACACGAGGAAATGCCTGACGATCACCAGGTAGAGAACGTGGAGGTGAAGAAGACCATGATAGACGAAGGGGATAAGAAGGGATAACGAATAGAGAAATAAGAGAAGGATAGAAATACATGGGGGTGAAAGAAGATTACAGAATGAGAGATATAAGAACACGGTAGCAACAGAACCTAAGAATGACAGACGCAACAGGAAGGAGACACAGACAGACAGACTGGGGCAAGGTCTTCACGAGCGATCTTTTCAGAGACCGTTCCTGTGAAGGCACGAAAGAACATGACACGAGAGACGAAATATTGTGGGGAGAACACTGAAGTAGTCGGGAATACCCACCACCCCGGAGCCTCACCTCCGTCTCCCGCCCAGGACCACCAGATGTTTGCTAGCGAGCTTGTGAAATTTCCTAGACGGCCAAGGGAGGGGTTTTCCCAAGCTCTCAAGTCATGGGGCAAAATTATTAGTTAGGGCATCCTATGACGTCCTTGAAGGATCTAGACCCTTTGATTTGAAAGAAGATGCATGGTTTTGTAACCCCAACCCTTTAATTTCAGAAAGATTTAAGAGTTTGTAATATTTCCTCAACGACCTAATGTGAGCTTCTGTGTATTATACTAATTCTTTTAGGTAAAATTAAGAAGTCAACGAGGTTCTTAAAAGCCTGAAGAGCTCAAAATTGGACAAGAGGAGTACAATAAAACCTTTCGTGGCCAGTTAAGCAGGAGAGGGATTCCCAAAGCTGCCGTTGTCAGTATCATGTTTGGCAGACGGTGGGTTGTGGTGATGGGGGGAGGGGGGTGGGGATGTGGTGATGGGGAGGGGGGTGGTGGGGATGTGGTAAAGGGAGGGGGTGGATAGGGTGGGGGAAGGGGAGGGGGAAGAGGAGGTGGTGGATCGGGAAGGTCACTGTGAGGTGCTCGAGGATGAGCCAGGACCAGGAGGCGTTGTGATCAAGATCGGCCTGGAAATTCCCGAGCTGGCCGAAGTTACGAGGAGAAATCTGCCTTGAAGTAGCGTGCGTGTGTGTGTGTGTGTGTTTGTTGCTTTTATGGGAAATAAGTAACCGAAACCAGAAAACAAATTGAAACAAGAAATTTTTTATGACAGCTTACGAAACAATAGACGAATCATAGACTGTTTAAACTAAATTATAATCTAAACTGCATTTAGACTTCATCCAAATAATGACTTCCTGAAATAAGAAACTACCTTCGTCCTTCGGAGTGACTCTAAATTAAATAAATAATGATGAGATTGGCGTCTTCCTTCTTTCATCTCTCTCTCTCTCTCACGCACGCACACACACATAGTAGCAGTCATTTGCTTGCCCGTCTCTGTCTGTCTGCCTGTCTGTCTGACCTTCGAGTGAACCCGGACTTGAAATCTGGCGCAATCTGGCACTTCCTCACCGACCCTACCGGTGTGTAAGCGACCTCCAGGGTGTTCTGACCTGAACTGACGATATCTCCTGCTGCTTTTATCGTATATCACGGGGAGAGGGGGAGTCCTATGCTGAATCCTGAGGTCAGGTTCACCCTAACTAAAGAAAACGTCTGACTCACTTAACCTTTGACTTAAATATGAACACCAAAATAGAGGATTGGAAGTTTGTCAATATTTATACCTGGTGGTTTTAATTGTCGTTACAAAGCCATCAGAGTTAGCCCCAATAGCAAATCCTCAAAGTTAATATTTCTAATGGAAGTTGCATTAGAAAGTGACCTGAATTAGCTTTCATTATAAATTCTCTGGGTTTATACACCTTTTAGGCTTAATCTTCACATCAATTGTCTTAAGCCACTAGAAATTTATCTTCATTGAGTCCTTAGTAGTGTGCGTCTCTATATAGAAAGTGTCTCCTATTAAGGCTCTCAATGGCTTCATCTTCCATAAATCGACCAGACAAGTTATGGTTCGTTAGGTCGGGGATAACAACTGCTGGTGACGCGAGAACAGAATTAAAAGGCAATAAACGAACAGGAAAATACGTTTGCCAATAAAGAGACAGGTAGAAAGTGAAGCAGATTATGTAAACAGTTGGTCAATTAGGAAATACATACACGTGAAAAGTCTCGAGGTGTGCGTAAAGAAACAGACAATAACTACGTATAGAAGTAAATAGAGGAATAGATGCATAACAGACAAGAATATTAATAAAGTAGGGAGATGACGTAGGAAAGTAGTTGATCTAGACGGCAGGAAAACACACAAGGAAGTGAACTCTTTCTTTCCCCCATCACTAACTTTTTTCCCCAACCTGAGAGACTATACACAACACTAGACGACCTTCTAAGCAATCTAAGTAATAATCTTGAATGAGCTAATGGTTCTAAGTGAGACAGTAAAGTAGAGAGAGACTCACCAGGGATGTCGGAGTTCTTGCAGTATTGATCTACCAGGTGGATGAACACGTACATCAGGCGTCCCATCTGTAAACAAAAACAATCAACACGTTAGCGACTTGTTCTTAGCCAATCGCATTGAGTCGGATCTTCTGCCCCCTTCTCCTATTGGTCACTTAAATATGTTCAAGCTTTATATTTATTTGATTTCTGTTTTAGTCACAACAGTGGAAAACTAATAGTATATACAGTATGTTATTCAGGATTAAGTTAAGTTTTTTTTTAGGTTCATTTAAGAAATGTAGAGTATTGATAACTTACCTTTTCCTGACGAGTGAGGAGTTCCCAGATAGGAATGGCTGAAGAGGTTGCCATAGTGCCAAGTGTCAGCACTACTAGAGTCTTGATTGCCAGCATCTTGAAATAATTTCTTGGGTCGTTACGCAGATGAAGGGTAGCAAAAAGGACGTAGAGGATGACCTTGAACAGCTGAAGTTAGAACTTGTGTCGAATAGATATGACCACACGGACTTAGTGTGGGTGAGGTGATACACAAGCGTCCACAAAGTCCCGTAAAGTGTGTGTGTGTGTGAGTGTAAACGTCCGAAGAGGGAGGCGGACCTAGAAGGCACAGGTACCCCAGCGAGCGCTAGCAAGAAACTGTTAGTGGCTGCTGGCGTACGGCTCTTATATGTCCTCCCGCGGGCCCTGCCACGCTGCCGCTTCCCCAATGGCCTTGCTAATGTCACCTTCATCTCACAAAAATTACACAGGCAAATAATTATTCACTCACCTACGCCTGTTGCTCTTCACTTTTTAAATACAGTATTAGGAATAAATAAGTATACTTCCTATTCTTGCTTTCAAAGTTTTGGAACAGTTGGCCCCGAAGGTTGGGACTGGAGCGGGGGTTGAGGTAGTGGGGGGGGAACAACATAGCTGCCATTCCACAAGACCCAAACAAACCCCCGCACCGGCCAGGCCTGTCCGCGTGTCGCCTCTCTGGCGCCCACCCGAGAAAGTGACTCACCGCCGGGTAGAACGACCCCGCAGCCCTCATCCAGGGACCACCAGCCCTCCAGTACGATAACCCCTGAGTCCTCACGAGATGGTACTCTGAGGGACAATAATCCAACTTGTAGAGATAATTCATGTAACTTTTCGAGTACAGTAAATACTCAGGTACGACAATTTACCCTTCCAGCACCATGATTTATTCTACAGTACCTTAAGCACCATCAAACATGATATATACACAGTGTAGTTTATATGTAAATTCTCACTAATAACTGTTGTTACACCCACGATGTTTACGGCCAGGCAAACCAACAAATTGCTTCTATTAAAACAATTAACTGGTAGAAATATCCAGCCACAACTGATCACTGTTATTACCAACTATATTTAATGAACACTCAGAGATAAATAACGTTTGTTCTTTGGTAATGATGAGTTCAGATCAACGTTCAACCGCGCGAGTTCATTAGTCTTACGAAACAGTTCAAATAAATATTCGAATCACCTGAAGATTAACCTCCCACAGCTTATTTCACCTTAAAACTAACCACCCTAACCTAACCTAACCTAACCTAACCTAACCTAACCTAACCAAATCTAACCACACCAAGGGGATTTAATCATTAGGTGAAATAAGCTGTGAGAGGCTAATCTTCAGGTGATCCGAACATCTTTCTTCCCCTAAAACACTAAATTCCAACTGACTAAAAATGACTCGATCAGGTGTTGTGGGTGGGGTGAAGCTGAGGACCATACCCCCATCACCTGGGAGTCACGATCAGAGAGGTGACCTTGTGGGGTTAACGACGGCTTCTGGCTGTACTTGACGGATCACCTGAAGAAGAATATCTCCACCACTCCTCAGCTTATTCTCACCTAAGGATTATCCACGCTAGCGTTAACCTAACCTAACCTAACCTAACCTAAAGCTAATTTAAGTTAAACCTAACCTAACGTAACATAACTTAAACCTAATCTAACCTAACCTAAAGCTAATTTAAGTTAAACCTAACCTAACGTAACATAACTTAAACCTAATCTAACCTAACCTAATGCTAATCTTACCAAACTTAACCTAACCTTAACGCAGTTACATGTGTTGAGGAGTAATACTTGTTCTTAATTAATAAATCACTCACGCTGCTAGACTAAAACACACAGACACACACACACACAGACACACACACACAGACACACACACAGACACACACACAGACACAGACACACACACACACACACACACACACACACAGACACACACACACAGCAGGAAGTCATCAAGCTCAGTAATAGTGTGGTGACATCCTCCTTCCCTGGGGAAACCTCTCACAAAATCTGATCAAAACCCAACTTGTGGTGTTGAGTCTATTATACTGAACGTGTTAATGTGCTGACTCTGTCTATCTGTCTATCTAATATCTGTCTGTCTGTCTGTCTGTCTGTCTGTCTGTCTGTCTATCTATCTATCTATCTATCTATCTACCTATCTATGTCTTATATACTATATCTGTCTTTCTTTCAACCAGTCTCTCTGTCTCTCTCTTCCTATCTATCTACCAAAATCTCTCTCTCTCTCTCTCTCTCTCTCTCTCTCTCTCTCTCTCTCCGCTTACAACTATTACACCCAGCCCTGGACCTCCCCCCCTCCTACCTACCTAACTGTTCCTACACGATAAATCAACACGATACAGTCACTACCCCCAGGAGGGCGGCCTATACCCCTATAAATAACGTCAGTGTTTGTCGTTGGACGTTTACAAGAGACACTTACCTCTCTCTGTAATATCTAAACAATGGCGGGATCTTTAACGATATCTAAATAACTACTACCACCCACCACCATACCACACCACCACACCTACCACCACCACTACCATCACACCACCACCACCATTCACCACCACCATTCATCACCACCACCACCATTCATCACCACCACATTATCACCACCATCATTTCCACCACCATTCATCACCATCACCACCACCATTCATCACCACCATCATTCATCACCACCACCATTCATCACCACCACCACCATTCATCACCACCACCATTCATCACCACCATCATCCCCACCACCACCATTCATCACCACCATCATTCATCACCACCACCATTCATCACCACCACCACCATTCATCACCACCACCATTCATCACCATAATACGTTTAAGTTCCGTTCACCTTACGTTCACATTGTAAGGAGGTGTAAGATCAAAGATTCTCAAGACGGGATATTATTAAGAGCTCTTCCGGGTATGTCAAACAGAGGGTTGGTTATTTGTTTGTTTGGTTGTTTGTTTGTTTGTTTAATTATTTGTTTGTTTAGTTATGTTGTTTATTTGTTTGTTTGTTTTCTTTTCGTGTCTTGGTGTGATAAATTATGGTTAGAGAGATAAATGATGAAAATGAGACTCGAATAAAGACAAAAAAGACAGAAGAGGAACAGAAGGATTTAGACAGAAGACAAATAAAACAGGAGAAACACAATGAGAACAAGAGAGAGAGAGAGATACCCCAATAAACAGGGGAAAATAAACACGGAGAAGAGGAGAAAAAAATCCCATTGAATTTATCGAGGAAAATATTACAAATAAAAACCATTCACAAATAAATAAATAAATTAAACAAACGAAAAAATAAATAAAATAAAATACTGAAAAAATATACACGAGAAACAAGAACAAAATCATAAAATAAACAATAACAAAATTAAACCATCCACCTTCCTACCCACCCTCTCCTACCTCCTACCACCCACACCCTCTCCTACCCACCCCCCTCTCCTACCCCACCCCTTCAAAATTAAAAAACGAAAGAACCAAAAAATACAATAAAATATAAATAAACAACTCAAGACAGAAAATCAAGTAAATAAACAAGTAAGTTCAAGAAAATCAAGTAAATAAACAAGTGAGTTCAAGAAAACCAAGTAAATAAACAAGTAAGTTCAAGAAAACCAAGTAAATAAACAAGTGAGTTCAAGAAAACCAAGTAAATAAACAAGTGAGTTCAAGAAAACCAAGTAAATAAACAAGTAAGTTCAAGAAAACCAAGTAAATAAACAAGTGAGTTCCTTGTTTTACGCAATAATTCCAGGAAGGTGTGAGGAGGAGTGTACAGATTTAAGACCCGTGTCCTGTGTTTACCATCTGACCCGAGTGATGAGGAGACTGCTGGTAACGTGTCTTGTTTTGTTGTTTGTTGTTGTTGTGTGTGGTGGTGGTGGTGTGGTGGTGTTGTTGTTGTTGTTGTTGTTGTTGTTGTTGTTGTTGTTGTTGTTGTTGTTGTTGTTGTGGTGGTGGTGTTTGTTGTTGTTGTTGTGGTGGTGGTGGTGGTGATGTTGGTGGTGGTGGTGTTGGGGTGGTGTGGGGTGGTGTGGGTGGTGGTGGTGTTGTTGTTGTGTGGTGGTGTTAGTGTTGGTGGTGGTGTTGTTGTTGTTGTTGTGGTGGTGGTGTGTTGTGGTGGTGGTGTTGGTGGTGGTGGTGGTGTTGTTGTTGTGGTGGTGGTGTTGTTGTTGTTGTTGTTGTGGTGGTGGTGGTGGGATGTTGTTGTTGTGGTGGTAGTGGTGGTGTTGTTGTGGTGGTGGTGTTGTTGTTGTTGTTGTTGTTGTTGTTGTTGTTGTTGTGGTGGTGGTGGTGGTGATGTTGTTGTTGTGGTGGTGGTGGTGGTGGTGTGTGTTGTTGTGGTGGTGGTGGTGTTGTGGTGGTGGTGGTGGTGTTTGTGGTGGTGGTGTTGGTGGTGTGGTGGTGGTGGTGGTGTTGGGTTGTTGTGGTGGTGGTGGTGGTGATGGTTGTTGTGGTGGTGGTGGTGGTGTTGTTGTTGTGGTGGTGGTGTTGTGGTGGTGGTGTTGGTGGTGTGGTGGTGGTGGTGGTGTTGTTGTTGTTGTGGTTATAATGAGACAAATCTCACAAGAAGAGAATTACATATATAGTAGGAAGTATAGAGAGTAGGAATGTAAAGATAGGAAACTTGGTAGTGGCCTGGATGTTATTTGCACAGCGCACTACGCTTATATCTTATCTCGTATGTCAATACACATATATCACTTTAAAGGACAACTTGTTAAACACCTCTTGATACAACTATTTATTACTTCACTCAATGACATGGACACATTATCACTATTATATCAGTACTAACACATTATGCTTTACGTTACTTGACACTGACTCGGACACACCTGAATGAATACACTTCCACAGTAGGTAACTCACCTAGGACGTTCTGACAAGACTCACGTACCCCTGACGTAGGCCCAGTGAGTGCTGGCTGGGCTGCCTCCTATGGGAGAGTCTGCTTTAGCTGGCGATGCCGTGGTCTGGAGAGGTCTCTCCCGACCTGGGGGAGACGTGCGTGACTCTGCTTAGTGAACCGAGTACACCCGAACGGAGGGGGATGACAGCAACCAGAATGAGAATCAGTATGACCAGAATCAGAATGATAATGATAATCGAATGCCCGTGGACGGACTGTAGGGCCTTTATATGGGGTCGGCCCAGCCGGCTTCTGACCTCTAACAATTAACACTAAACTGGTTTGATCTGAATAGTTGTGTGCAGGTGTGGTCCTGGCCAGGTGTCTGGCTAGGTGCGGTTGTAGGTCACCAGCTCACGTCATTAGCGGCGAGTCAAGTCCCTTGGCGAC